TTCAGATATGAAGAGCAGGCCACAAAATGTACTATTTAGCAGATTAGCACCCAGAAAATTAGAATTTTTACAACTGAGCTGTAAGCACACTATTATACGCTTCCATTTGACTCTCAGATATGCAGAGCAGGCCACAAAATGTACTATTTAGCAGATTAGCACCCAGAAAATTAGAATTTTTACAATTGCGCTGTAAGCACGCTTTTAGACGCTTCGATTTGACTCTCAGATATGAAGTGAACACCCCAAATGTACTATTTAGCACCAAAAAAAACAAAAAACTCCAATGTAAGCAGCAGATTAGCAGCAAAACAATTCGAATGTTTACAACTGTGCAGTAAGCGCACTATTTGACGCTTCTATTTCACTCTCAGATATGAAGTGCACCGCAGGCCCCAAAATGTACTATTTAGCAGATTAACACCCAGAAAATAAGAATGTTTACCACTGCGCTGTAAGCGCACTATTAGATGCTTCTATTTGACTCTCAGATATGAAGAGCAGGCCCCAAAATGTACTATTTAGCAGATTAGCACCCAGAAAAATTAGAATTTTTACAACTGTGCTGTAAGCACACTATTAGACGCTTCTATTTGACTCTCAGATATGAAGTGCAGTCCACAGATGTACTATTTAGCAGATTAGCACCCAGAAAATTAGAATTTTTACAACTGCGCTGTAAGCGCACTATTAGACGCTTCTATTTGACTCTCAGATATGAAGAGCAGGCCCCAAAATGTACTATTTAGCAGATTAGCACCCAGAAAATTAGAATTTTTACCACTGCGCTGTAAGCACACTATTAGACGCTTCAATGTGACTCTCAGATATGAAGTGCACCGCAGGCCGCAAATGTACTATTTAGCAGCAAAACAATTTAAATTTTTACAACTGTGCTGTAAGCACACTATTAGACACTTCTATCTGACTCTCAGATATGAAGTGCACACCCCAAAATGTACTATTTTGCAGATTAGCACCCAGAAAATTAGAATTTTTCAACTGCGCTGTAAGCACACTATTAGACACTTCTATTTGACTCTCAAATTTGAAGTGCACCCCACTAAAATACTATTTAGCAGTTTAGCACCCAAATAATTTTAAGTTTTAAAACTGCAATGTGACAGCAGTATTTGACGATTCTATTTGACTCTCAGATATGAAGTGCACCCCACTAATGTACTAACCCACTAATGTACTATTTAGCACCAAAAAAAATGACTTTTTAAAACTCTGATGTAACCGCGGTATTTGAAGCTTCTATTGGACTCTCAGATATGAAGTGCACCCCACCCACTAATGTACTAGTTTGCAGAATTCTTTCCTAAGCTGTCCCTCACAGCTGCAGCATCCTCTCCCTACACTAATAAGACCGCATGTGCGTGCGGCGCTACGCGACTCCAGCTTATATATAGAGGCTGGGTCACATGCTGCATAGTAGGCATGGCTGTGATGGCTTCTAAGTGCACACAAGTCAAACACTTGTTGATTGGCTGCCCTGCAGCCTTTGAAAACGCGCCATTAAATCGCCGAACACCGAACTCCAACCCAAACATACAGTGATATGTCCGTGTTCGGGTCCAGGGTCCAAAAAACCTAATGTTCTGTACAAACCCGAACTTTACAGTCCGGGTTCGCTCAACTCTATATATAAATTTAATATGGTAACTAAATAGCAGTTCCACTGATGTACATAGGAAATTGCTAAATAATTACCAGAAATCTGCTTTCCCAGGCCATATACATGGCAGCATGTCCCTGCCCCCAGCACCTATTGGACAGGTAATAAAGGAAGAAAAAATAAATAGGATGTTCATTCCACTCGTCCACTGTCTTTTTTCCTGTCACTCCACTATTTTTTTTTTCCCCAGCTAACTGGGGCCTTTTGGCTTCATTCCCCAGGGGAGCTCATTCTTTCTCCTTCCTGGAAGTCTCAGGATATACAGGTGATACTTGAAAAATTAGACATGAACCCCATAGAGAATCTATTGGGCATTGCCAAGAGAAAGATGAGAGACACAAGACCGAACAATGCAGAAGAGCTGAAGGCCGCTATTGAAGCATCCTGGTCTTCCATAACACCTCAGCAGTGCCACAGGCTGATAGCTTCCATGCCACGCCGCATTGAGGCAGTAATTGCTGCAAAAGGGGCTCAAACCAAGTACTGAGTCCATATGCATGCTTATACTTTTCAGAGGTCCGATATTGTTCACATTGTACACTCCTTGTTTTATTGATTGCATGTAATATTCTAATTTACTGAGATTGTGGATTTGGGGTTTTCATGCGCTGTAAGCCATAATCATCGCAGTTAAGACAAATCACAGCTTGAACTATCTTGGTTTGCATGCAATGCCTCTATCTCATATATTAGTTTCTCCTTTTACGTTGCATTACTGAAATAAATGAACTTTTGCACAATATTCTAATTTTTTGAGTTTCACCTGTAAAAAGGGAGACTCCCTGGAGATCCCCACTTAGTGACCGGGTATGTGTACAGCTGCATTGACTGTGTATGGCAGTAGCATCTGAACGGCATGGATCGCTCCTTTCCATCAGATGTTGTGATATTGATGGCATCGTATTGTAGGCATTTTATTATTTTCTCTTCTCTTTTTTGCTGTTTTATTCAACAGCTTGCATTCTCCCCCTACTGCTATTTTGTTAGAGACTGCATTTATCTCTTTGTCTTTTTGGTCCAATTGTAAATTCACTTGTGAACTGATGACATATTCCCAACATCACTTAAGGTAGCCTTTTTATTTCCTGCCAGAATGTAAAGTTAAATTGTTGTTTTTGATTTCTTAAAGTCAGTAGCATACTAAGGAGGTAGGGTGAGGGCAGGGGCGGACTGAGAACCCTCAGGGCCCCCGGGCAAAATAAATCAAGGGCCCCCTTACAGGTCCCACCCATACTCTGCAGCAAGCGCCACCCTTGTCCCGCCTCCATGCACCGCCTCCAGCCACACCCTACACAATCTTTAGACACAAGGAACAAAAGGGCAATAAGCCCTTCGAGGCCCCAGTAGAGACTACAATTGAGGGCTAATGGGCCATGGAAGGGGGTCTTTCTAGCGGAGGCTATCTCAGTGTCCTTTAGAGAGTGTGTTAGATAGAATCCCCTCCAAGCCCCATTAGAGACTACAATGGAGTCTAAAAGGCTTGGAAGGGGTCTTTCTAACAGAGGCCATCTCAGCGTCCATTAGATATCCCTTGCTGGAAACAGTCGCCTCCAGGCCCCAGTAGAAACTACAATTGAGGGCTAATGGGCCATGGAGGGGATTTCTAGCAGAGGCTAGAGTCTAATGGGGCCTGGAGGGTGGTCTCTCCAACACTCTGGTTCCTATTCACAATATAGCAACACAACATAGCTCACTGATGCCTAAGCCAAGTTGGCTCCTCTTGCATAAGTACTGTTGCTGGCTGGCGGTCTGTGAGGCTTGCTGGCTGGGCTACGGCGAGCTGTGGGCTTTACTGGCTACTGCCGGCCTGTGGAAAAGCTTGCTGACTGCGGCTGGCAGGCTGCGGCTGGCAGGCTGTGGCTTGCTGGCTGTAAGCCTGTGGCTACTAATAGGCCTGTGGGCTGGCTACTGGCCTGTGGGCTGTGGCTAACTGGCTGGCTACTGGCCAGCCTGTGGGTTAGCTGGCTGGCTACTGGGGCACTTGTAGATTATTTAAAGAAATAATCCATGCACAATAACCACTGCTGCTCCAGAGTAAGTAGTCAAACCATTTAAGAACAGTTTGACAACTTACCTGGGATCTGCTGGGATATGGGGCTGTAGTAGGGAATAGGAGCAGTGGTGCAATGTGTGTGAAAGGTTCAGTGTGTGTGTGGGGGTGTAGTGTGTGAATGTGTAGGGTGTGTGGGCAGTGTATGTGTGTAGCA